GTTTTGTAAAACAATAAAAACCTGTTGTTAAATGCTGTTGTTAAATGTATTTCATACAAGCATGAACAGTAAATTTGCTTAAATTTTTTTTTAAATAATTACAGCTACTTAATTTATTTGAGGTTCTAAACTTAAAAACATGCAATTACACACAAAACACTGGATTTGTATTCAATTTTAATTAAAAAAACTATTTGAAACAACTTTTTTTTTTGAGTTCTCAACTGATTGAAGAGGAAAAGATTTAGCTAACATAATAAAGTTTGTTGTCTGAACCTAATTTTGTCAAATGTTGTCGTAACTTGAATATATTAATGCAAACTGTTGCGTTAATTTTTTTAGTTTCGTCTAAACAATATTTTTTAGAGTGTACAGTAAAGTTAGACATCAATGCATTTAGTGAGTGTATCTAGTACAAGACACTGAATATGTATGTTTCACATTTTTACTGCATTTGTCTTTACAATTTAAATTTTTTTACAGCATTGTGCAGAAGAATAAACACACCCTTATTTACAACAAACATAAACTTTCTTTGGGTTGAACTGTGCACAACTGTAAACAATATTGCAGAACATATTGGAACTGAACCAACATACATACACAGGTCGGTAAATCATTCATGAAACTGTTTAATTTAGAAGACATTTTCAGTAAAATAAAGATTTCAACATTTTTTTTATAAAATTAGCTTGCAAGATTTTGACAACTAGTTCAACATTTTTGTATGTAATGACTCAAGTAATGAAATGAAGACTATTAGTTTTATTTGCAATGACTATTCAGCATTTACAAGTTTAGTTCATTTTGACTGACATGACATAAGCAAATGATAATGTTATAAACAGCAGAGAGTTGTATGAAAGCAATTGATGCATGTCCGAAACCATTTGCAATTTGCTGAAAGGAATGAGAAACTGCTACTAGGATGTGCACAAATGACTAAGTGTTTTGAGAAATGCATGACCTGTTGTGTAGATGAAAATAGTGTTGTGAGAAATGCAACAAAGCCACTAAGAAAAACTGTAAACAAACAGATTTATTAAAAAGATATTTTTTTTAAATAATATTTTAGTCACCAAACATATTCAGAAATTGAAAAATACAGTTAAATCCAAGCTAAATATTGCAAAAACAATTACAACTCTTACTCTTACTACTTTTCTTGATTTTTCTTCTATTTTAATTTGTATTCAACATTTTTCTATAACATAAATTTGGCTGTACTAGTTTTTAGACCATTGTCATAAATAATAATGATGAGCTTTAGATTTGGCTTCAGTATTGACTAATCTAATGTATTTGCACAAATATAATAATATATAGCTCCCTATTAAAAATATGAATTTAAAAAATAGATTTGTGAGGGGTGTACTCATATATGCTGAGCACTGTAGTAGACGTACCCATTTCATACATTTGAGATTGAATTGTTCAAATGCAGCTATCTATTTTTAGGGTAATTTAAATTGTATTACAATATTAATACTATACAATGATTTATATTGTTCTGATGTGTTTATGATTAAAATAAATACATAGTTTTTCTGTTTGTAAAAATAGCCTGTGTACTTTGCATATAGCAATAGATTATATACACTCACCTGCATATTTCTAATCAGCCAATCACATGGCAGCAACTCAATGCATTTAGGCATGTAGACATGATCAAGACGAACTGCTGCAGTTCAAACTGAGCATCAGAATGGGGAAGAAAGGGGATTTAAGTGACATAATTTACATATTGTAAACTTGCTCTTTAACATCCATTAAAACTTTTCATTTTACATAAAATCTTTTTTTAAATCAATATATATATATATATATATATATATATATATATATATTTATTTTATTTATTTATTTTTTTTTTTATCCAAAGCTACTTTTTAAAAAGTGTATTACTATGTAACAATTACGATTCCTCGGGTTCAAACAAACCCAGATTATGAACACATTATGAGGCATAAAAGAAAAATAAATCCTACAGTACTTCAGTAATGTTTGTGGATTGGCAAATTCTCCATTGATATTATTGTATCTTGTCTTCAGCCCTCCCTCCACCGCTCTCTCTCCCTCTTCTATCTGCTATATTTAGGCCTCTGCATTGCAGATGTCCCATAACACAGCCTGCAGACGTGTGTGTGAGAAAGATTGCTTTAATTCCCAGGTTAAAGCTGTTCAATCTCTCTCACACACACACACAGAGAGAGAGACATGCACTGACTGCATTACTACAGCATGACGCAGCAGAACACACACAGCATGGTCAGTAACACACTGACAAAGCAACAGTGTTCACCTTGCTGCAGTTATGCAGGACATCTGAAGCAAGACAGGTTTGTTATTTAACATCTGAATCAATGTGTTAAAGTTTTACAAAGATGGATTTGGAACTAAAAACTTAGAGGGTTATTGTGGACTGATGTAATCAAGCATCAACCTTGTTTTCTAGGGCATCATAAAAATATTCAAGGTTACGCAGGAAACTCAGGGAGGATTTACTAGAAATGTTTTCATGTATTTATTATTTATTAATTGCTAAAATTCTTAGAATACGACCAAAATATATATATTTTTTTGTGTTTTAGTAACAAAATTATACATTTCCCCCCATTCAAATGTGATACTTGATATACAAAACGTGAAATCTCAAAATAAAAATCGTAGTGTGTGGTCTCTAGCGCCACCTGATGTTCACTCTTTGCCTATACATTTTATTGCCATGAAAACAAACAAAATTGTCTATTTCATGATCAAACTCGAAAGCAGTGGTGTCCAAACTTGGTCCTAACCAAGAACGCACAATTATATGGTGTTAAGGCTTTGCAATCAAAGTGTCATAATTAACGTCAATGTGAAAAACAACCAGCAATTAAACGAAAGGGCAGTCAATTTGCCCAGAATTTAATAATTCTTGAAAAAATTTTAAAGGCAACTTTTTTTTTCAAATGTCATATTTGTCACCAAAATTCATGCAAAACAAAACCCAATTTGACATTTTATAAATAGAAAAATATGAAGTAGATCGCTTTACAAATACCAGTTGAGTCTGTACATGACAAGTGCTAAATTACTAATAATAGTAGTTTATAGAAGGATACTATTGTGAATCATACTTCAGTAATTGAATTGATCTGTTGTGGGTAATTTAATAGTACTTCAGTGATAATACAGCAGCTATATTAATATAAACAACACAAAAATTCTACAACTATACACAAACTGTAGTATTCTGTAACATGGTATTTAAAAATATACCTAAGATACACTACTATAGTTCAAAACACTAGCTGAAGAGAAGTCTTTAAGATAGATAGTTTGAATTATTAGCCCCCCTTTGATTTTTTTTTCTTTTTTTAATTTTTCCTAAATGATGTTTAACAGAGCAAGGAAATTTTCACAGTATGTCTGATAATATTTTTTCTTCTAGGGAAAGTCTTTAGTTTCATTTTGGCTACAATAACAGTTTTTATTTATTTATTTTTTTTACATTTTAAGGTCAATATTATTAGCCCCTTTAAGCTTTATTTTTTTCGATCGTCTACAGAACAAACCATCGTTATACAATAACCTGCCTATTTACTCCAACCTTCCTAGTTAAACTAATTAACCCTTTAAATGTCACTTCAAGCTGTATAGAAGTGTCTTAAAAATATCTAGTCAAATATAAAGTGCTCTCATCAGGGCAGAGATAAAATTAATCAGTTATTAGAAATGAGTTTAAATGAGTTTATTAGAAATGAGTTAGAAACTATTATGTTTAGAAATGTTGAAAAAAAAATCCCTCTGTTAAACAGAAATTGGAAAATATAAACATGGGGGGCAAATAATTCTGAATTCAACTGTATATTAAAAATAGACTTAACCAAAAACCATTGTCTTAACTTAATTTTCCTTAGGCTTAGTCTCCATTTTAGAGGTTGCCACAGTGGAATGAACTGCCAACTATTCCAGCATGTTTTACACAGCAGCGCATGCACTTCCAGCAACAACCCAGTACTGGGAAACACTCACCCACACTAAACGTACAATTTAGTTTATTCAATTCACCTGTAGTGCATGACTTTGGACTGTGGGGAAAACCAGAGCACTCAGAGGATAAAGACCATGAACATGAGAACATGCAAACTTCTTACAGAACTAGCAAGTCCAGCCAGAACTCAAACCAGCAACTTTCCTGCTCTGAGGTGACAGTGCTAACCACTGAGCCACCATGAGTATCATTTTAACTCAAAGGATACATTCTTAATTTTAAAGCCATATATGCAACCTTTTGGACACAAGCATGTGTACAGATCCTTGTATCTCCAATCAGCTGATAGCATTTTATACATTACTTCTAGATTTATGCAATCAGAAATAAAATATTTCTTATACTGAATGGAGTTACTTTCCCAGAAACAACTTTCTAAAATAACTGAATCAATATTCACATTTACTGTAATACACCATGCATTTAAAAAAAAAAAAAAAAAAAAAAAAAACACTTTTGTAAATTATCCAGATAGAAAAGCTCATCTTTTAAACACGATATTTACATTAACCCAGCTGATTACATCCATTAACCATGGCTCTTAAAGATTCCAATTAAAAAAAACATTAACCCCGTGCTCAAACGTTGGGTCATTTTAAAAATTACCCCAACAATTAGACCAAAACATTTTATAATAAGGTTGTATTAGTCAATGCATTACAGTATTGGTTTATGTTAATGGAAACAGTTCACCGTTTGTTCAAGCTAACTCACGGTGCATTAATGTTAACATGCACAAATCTGTATGTGAATAATGCATTAGCATACGTTGAACAGATTACGAAATGCTGTACGGATAAGGTTCGTGATTAGTTCATGTTAGTAATACATTAACTAATGAAAACCTTACTGTAAAGTGCGACCCACTAATTATTTTACTCAACATTTGACTGTTCTTTTGCCTAATAAAAGTGTATGTATGTATATTTCCAAACGAACACAGACAATGTAAATCAAACAAGGCTTTTTGGTTTTATATAAAAAGTTTATCATTTGCACTTCAGTATAAAACAGCTCCACGGCTCTGGCCAATTGAACAAACACTTCCACAGTCATGGCAGGAAAGATCAGACACTTCCTGTTGGTCTCTAAAACACCTGGCTTCAGTGGGACGGGGATTATTTGCCATTCTAATTTGGCGATATTTATATATAACATTAACACAAAACTAACAAAAACACCTGTGGTTAGCTAGTATAACATTTATATTAACTTAAAAATAAGGGATGGGGGAAAAAAAAAAATGGATTAAAGGATGAACACAAGCTTATCGATTCACATCCCAAATGCAAGTCCTTGAGTCATGTCTGCACTTAGATCCTGATGGGAACTATGCGGTTTTCTGCTGGCCCTTCTTACCAATCAGAGACTTGTGGATGTGTGGAATCACACCTGCAGGAAAACAAACAAACACAGGCTTAACATCCTTATCTGGCAAAACATCTGTGTCACTAAAAGACACTACATGCATAAAGCACATTAAGACAGCTCGGGTTATGGATTTGAATGAAATGGCTGCATAAAATCTTTGAAGAAACCCTGTCGAGAATAAAGAATGGTTTGCTAAAGGAGACCTTAATCCAATTTCAAGTTTTGCATTGTCTTCACTAAAACCAGATTAGGTCAAATACTTCCCTCTGCATCTTCTTAATGTGACGGATGTGGTGAGGCAGAAGCGACTTTGGCACATTTATTTTGGTTTTGTCCTGTTCTTCGCAAGTTTGTCCAACATTTTTAATTGTTTTCCAGTGCTAACGGAACAAATTAATATCCAACTAAACCACAACCTGGCTATTCTAATATAATGGACACCTTTCCGTTAACCCAACCGCAAGCCCTGATGGTTGCCATAATTAAAAAATAAATCCTTTGTGGAAAAATATTTAATTGGAGATCTCCAAAGGCTCCCTGTTATCAGAGGTTGTTAAATGACTTGATTTATGCCATTCAAATAGAACCAGAAATCTAAGCTTCACAGATTGTGTATACATTTAGAAGAGCGTTTAAAAAATAAATAAAAATAAAAAAGTTGAATACAATATTATTATTATAAAAAAAAAAAGAAACCAAGGCCCAATGCCAATTCTCTTTAAGCTTGAAGGCGTAGGGCTAAAGGGAAGAGCTGGATAGCCCTTGAAACTGAGATTTTCCAGGACCACACTAGAAACCAAGGAGTACAAAAATTTCCCAAAATACACCATCTATAACAGCAGCATGGCTGCACATGCGAGTCAGGAAATGCACAAATTAGCATTAGCAGGAATTTTTACAACAAACAAGTGTGCATTAATACATTCATAATGGTGTTCATGTTCTAATGTCAAGCTTAAAAAAATTTTAATTTTGCCATCAATAACAACAACCATTCCTGTATAGAAGTCCCACAACATACTTTTCCATCAATCACTTCAATACCCTGTCAGAAATGTCTAGTGGAATGGCCTTTTTACAGTGTCTGGTGTAACATTAATGGTGTAACATTAATGTAACATTAATGTTGTGGTCTTGGGTTTATATAGATTAATAAGGCCAGATAATAATATAGTTACGAACTTATTGCCAAATTGTAACGTTATGATATGTCGTTGCCTTCTGTGATTTCCTGATAACAAAAAAATGTTATATATATATATATATATATATATATATATATATATATATATATATATATATATATATATATATATATATATAAATAATATATATATATATATTTTTTTTAAAGCTGGAATAGCTACAGCAGGCACCACTGTTGATCTCAGGAGGTTGTGGCGATATATGACATGCGTGCTGTACCATTTCTTAGGGGTCAATTTTGAAGCTCTTGCCCTTCACACAGTTTTAAAATCACTAAGAGGAAGGGCTATGGGGTTTAAAAAAAAATAAAAAAATAAAAAAAAATGTTAAATGAATAAAATTGGTCCTAAACATCCACATACCTCCTCCAGCAATAGTGGCCTTGATAAGGGAATCGAGCTCCTCATCTCCTCGAATGGCCAGCTGTAAATGTCGAGGAGTGATGCGCTTCACCTTCAGGTCTTTTGAAGCATTTCCTGCCAACTCCAAAACCTACAACGACAGCAAAACATGATTAATTGCTTAAAACAAATTTTGCAGTAGTTTGAAATATGAGAAATAAAGTTTGCCATATCAGCTTCAATGACTATTTATTAGCATAAACATAAATTGTTCATAAACAATTTCAATAAAACTCTGAAGAAGTCACAATACTGAAATTTCTAACTTTGGCATCAAGTGCCAATAATTTTAAAAAGTATTGTATAATTTTTGCCATCATGGGAAAATATTACCACAGCCTTTATTAAAAATATGAATGTCTTATTTTCTGTATCTGTTCAATTCAATTCAAGTTTATTTGTATAGCGCTTTTACAATGTAGACCATGTCAAAGCAGCTCCACATAGAAGATCATAGTAAATTAAAACAGTGTCAGTCCAGTATCTGTCAGTTAAAACCTACAGCATGGCTTAATGACTTCTTTTTCTACTAATGCCCCCTGGACAGCGGTTCAGCTTTTAACTTGGCCTGCTAATTTTTTACTTGCCCCACTAAAAAAAAATACTACAAAAAAAAAAAAAGATGATGATAATAATAATAATAATAATAATATGTATTTTTGTTATTACTATTATGAGTAGTAGTAGTAGTAGTAATAAATAGTGCAATTTGTTGCTTTGCATCAGTTATTTGGAATTTAATGTAGCACTCATGTAATGGTTAACACAATCCTTAATTCTAAATTTAGACTCAATGATAAATTAGAAGCCTAACTGAAATAAGTCAAAATAATTGAAGACAATCAGTAATTAATGTACAGATTAAAATTAATAACAGGGTAAGAGTACCAAGTTTTCTTTATCTTGTGTCTGATCTTTATTCTGAACAAACATGAAATGTGCAGAAAGTTTGCAGCATCAACCATGACATAAGATGTTGCTTTTATTTCTGCAAATGAAAAATGAAACTGATAGACTTAACTGCAATAAGTCATAACACCATGCATCAAGTGTTTTGAAAGTGTGGATATTTCGATACTTAAAAATATCAATACTTGTGACAGAAATAATGTGTGGAGATCTTACTTCAGCTGTGAGATATTCAAGAATGGCTGCGCTGTAAACGGCTGCTGTTGCTCCTACTCGACCATGGCTTGTAGTGCGTGTCTTCAAGTGCCTGTGGATTCGTCCCACTGGAAACTAAAAATTTCACATATGCACCTCTTTATAACATAGCTTGATATGTTTTATTTGATAATTGCAAAGCAATAAGCTTCTCATCAACAACCATTTAACTTAAAGTTTAGGACAGACGGAGATATTTGTCTTAAATTATTAAATTAGCTTAACCAAATAATAGAAACACATGCTTACCTGAAGACCAGCTCTTTGCGAGCGAGACACTGCTTTCGCCTTGGCTTTGCCACTGTCTTTACCTGCTTTTCCACCTGCCTGCAAAACAATAATTAGACTCAATCCAATGCAAGCAAACACACAATATTTTTTTTTTAATTACTATTTCAAATTTTTTAATATAGTTTACAAAAATATTATTAATAATATTAAAAATATTACAGGTAAAAAAGATAAGCAAAATAAGTTCTAAATCAACTTTAATTTGAACATTTTTACATTTTCATATACAACATGTGCAAAAATAATAAATCTTGTTTACATAACACTTCATTTTTCTACACAATAGTTTATCATTTTAAAACTTTAGATAAAATAATAATAATAATTATTATTATTATTATTACTTATACAATTTCACATTATAATACAATTTATTACTACAATACAATTTTACATGCATTAAATAAAAATGACAAATTTAAATGTGCAACACTAAACAAATACATTTTCCGTTACAAAAAAATACTGAATACAAGTGTAACATTTTATTTATAAAATTATACGTTTAAATATAACATTTAAAAGAAAACATTTAAATCGATATTTGTTTTACATTGATCTCGATAAAATTACAGAAGTAAACATGCACAAATAAGTCATTTGCCAAGACCAACAGCTATCAAGTCTGTACATTTCATTTTAGTTCCCATTAGTTACAATAAAAAGTAACAAACTACATGACTACACACTATTTTACCCTGTTTACACATGTAAGAATTTGCTGAAAGTAAGGGTGTCAACTATATAGTCCTTCTAAAGTGTCAATACATTACTCCTACAACTCAAATAAGATTGAATACGACACCAAAATAACAATGCAAACTTGAACAAATTTGTCAATTCAGTGAATAAGGTTTGCACAGATAACACGAAGGCGGAATTTTGAGTCACATCTACTTTATTTACAGAAAACATTTGACCTCTATATTTACAAATCGTAAATTATTTAACATTACAAGCAATACTATGGTTTAAACAATGATTAATAATATAACTACTTGTTAAAACTTTTAGCACCAAATTGAACTACAATTTCAAATGCTTTTAGTGATCCTTATTTATCTCACATGGGGATTAAGTAACACGAGGTGAATTCGGGTATTTTCTTTTGTTAACAAGTCATGTATTGTTTTGAAATAATTTGGTCTTTATAAATATAAAAAGATAGTGAGATTTCTTTCCCCAGTCAAGTCGCTGTACTTACTATTGCTGATCAATATGTATACTTATTGGGTTAACTGAGGTTAAAATCAAAACATATTCAGTACAAACAAGATCGAGCCGAGCCTTTAAATCTATTAAAGTTTACTTTACCCAATTTATTCCATCTGCAACTTCACTGAATGCAAAGAAGTCAATGAACAGCATGCTAAAGCAGGTAAATCTATGAATGCCACACTAAACTGACAATATAATTTAATAATAAATAAAGACACAAAAGCAAAACTGCAGATTACGGCAGTCGGTAATCTTTACATGCAGGAAATTAAGTTATAAACCAACAGCGCTAACGGGTAGAGTTTAGCTTTAGCTAACGTTATCTGTGCTGCTTGCAGAAATTTCACAAGCTACGATGCATATAAAGGAAAACACACAAATGTATAAGACAGTTGTATGTTCGAGAGTAAAACAACTTAAATTGAAACATATCGTAACTAATTGAATAACATTTACAGAAAGACTATTAGCACATGCTACTCTAGCGCGCTAGCGGCGCAAAATCAGACAGCGTTAGCTCAGAGCTAACCACATAATATCTTAAAACACGACAAACGAGCATTACTAAAGGCAATGGTTGATTTTTAGTTCTGGAAAATCTTTATAAGGGCTAAAAATAAAAAATTTCATACCATTTCAGCGATGTATTACTTTGAATGGGAGCCTGGGAGGTTTGGCTACAGCCTATCCGCCTCTTGACTCGGAGGAACAATAAACCGCGTTCAGCAGAGACTGCTTAAGGCACACCGTGTGGTGAAATCAGCCAATCAGCATACGTGGTACTGGATCGAATCTCGGAGGGGCCAATAAGATTTCGAGATATTTCTTTTTCTACCATCCCCCATTAGCGTGTGATGTTTGTACGGATAACATTAAAGCGGGATTTTGAGTGACATCTGCCTGAAATTTACAGAAAACATTTCACCTCTATATTTAGAATTGTAAATGTACATTTTAAAACAATGATTAATAATATAACTGCTCATTTTGTTATAGCTTTTATCACTAAACTGAACTACAATTTCAATTGTTCGAATTGATCCTTATTTATCTCACAGGTGTCGATTTATTATGTAGCATGAGGGGAATTCAAGTATTCAAATATTTTCTGTTAATAACACAATTTCTGTGTTGTTTCGAAATCATTTGACCTTTATAAGTTTAAAAAGATAGTGAGTTACAAAATATTAACATGTTTTAACTTCTTTTCAATACAAGTTACTGGACTTATTAATGATGATCAATTTTTTACTCGTAATATAAGGTTAACTGCCAGAAAGTAAAACGAATCGATAAAATCAATAATGGTGTAAACACACACAAACACACACACACACAAACACACACACACACACACACACACACACACACACACACACACACACAATAACACACAACATTGTAAGTAAAATAGTTTGCGTCATGTTTACCATGTTTCTGACTTGTATTAATGTGTATAATAATGTATTCACAAGTATCTGAATTAATTATTGCCTAATAATTTTTGATTTACACGCATTACAAAAGAATGTAAATTTGTGGGCGTTTATAAAGCCTTTACTGATAGCTTAGCGTATTTGCAGAAAATTCCGAATGCAGCTGTAGTTGTTTACTGTAAGTACTGTATGTACTGTACAAACGGTCAATCGTTATCTGCAAAGAAGTGCTTGCTTTTTTTCACGTTATCGACACCACTGTACACCAATCACCCGTTATACTGTCAAAACAATGAGGAGGGGCTTAACCTTTGACAGGCACTCCAACTGAGCCAAAGAGAGCAAGGATTTGGCGTTTACTCGTATAACAGACAGCTCGCTGTCCAATTAGAGAAGCGAATATTTGATTGACACATCAAACGCCCAATCAAGAGAGGACCTTAGTAAGTGACGTTTTTAGAGTGATTGACCATTCATGCGGCGCGCTGATGCCGCTGAACGGGTCAGGAGGCGGGACCTGAGGAAATACGGGTGGGAAAAAAATAGCGCAGGTCTGGGTGATGGTGAAGATGGCGGATGGGGATAGTGGGAGTGAGCGCGGTGGAAGCAGCGGCGGCGGCGGCGGTGGTGGCAGCGGCGGAGGAGGAGGGGGTGGAGGCAGCGGATTCCAGCCTTTCCAAAGGGATCAAGAGACCCAGGAGCTGGCGTCCAAACGCCTTGACATCCAAAACAAGCGCTTCTACCTGGACGTGAAGCAGAACTCGAAGGGCAGGTTCATCAAGATCGCCGAGGTCGGCGCGGGGGGCTCCAAAAGCCGCTTGACGCTTTCCATGTCAGTCGCGGCGGAGTTTCGGGACTACCTGGGGGATTTCATTGAGCACTACGCGCAGCTCGGACCCAGCACCCCGGAGCAGATCGCTCAATCATCCGGCGGAGAGGACGGAGGGCCTAGACGGGCCTTAAAGAGCGAGTTCCTAGTGAGGGAAAACCGCAAATACTACCTCGACTTGAAGGAGAACCAGCGGGGGAGGTTCCTCCGCATCCGCCAGACCGTCAACCGCGGGCCAGGGGGGTTCGGCGCCGGGGGAGGTGTGCCCGGGGGTGGCATGCAATCCGGGCAAACCATTGCCCTTCCTGCTCAGGGTCTGATCGAGTTCCGCGACGCGCTGGCCAAGCTGATCGACGACTACGGCGGGGACGACGAGGAGCTGGTCGGCGGCGGCTGCTCCGGGGCTTACGGGGAGCTGCCCGAGGGCACGTCGATCACCGTGGACTCCAAGCGGTTCTTCTTCGACGTGGGGTCCAACAAGTACGGCGTGTTTCTGCGGGTGAGCGAGGTGAAGCCCAGTTACAGAAACTCTATCACGATACCCTTCAAAGCGTGGAGCAAGTTCGGCGGCGCTTTCTGCCGCTACGCCGAGGAGATGAAGGAGATCCAGGAGCGACACCGGGATAAAGTGTACGAACGAAGAGGCGGAGAGGAGTCTGAGGGCGACGACATGGAGGACGACTGACCGGGACAGGGAGGCTCGCTATCCCGCAGCAGGAGACACAATTACCGTGCATGAAACGAAGAACATTAATGCTCAATGGCGAATAAAGATGTTTGACTGAGAGAAAAAAACAAAACACTGTCGTGTATATGTAAGAGAATCCTGTTTAAAGCAGTATAGACGATGTTTTGGCTAGATAAATGGATATTTCTGCTGGCTGCTCTATAGGTCTTTATATATGTGAAAGTTTGGTAACACTTCCCATTAAGGTTGGTTTAGTTCATGTATTTGCTAACATACTGAACAACACAGTGTATATTCATCTGTGTTAATGTTGGTTAATGGAAATAGAGTTGTTCACGTTAACTCAAAGAGCATTAACTAACATTTACTAGCATACATTTAGATCTTAATAACACATTAGTAAATACATGGTTAGTAAATACATGAACTGATGAAACCCTTTTCAAGAAGTGTGACCGAAAGTTCTACCCTTTTACAGAAGACACCCCTTTTTTCCACCCAGAGACTGAGTCGACCGGGACGTTTAGTGTTAGTGTATCCAGATATGATGAATATCTCTACTAGGTGTTTTTGGTGTTGTACCATATGATGGAGAGCAAAAAAACCAGCATCATCTGAATGACGTGGTGTGAATCTCATAGTTAGCTCATTCAGGAAGTGTTCTCTGCAGATTCGTGTGTGTATATATATAAGACTCAGATCAAACAAATTGGAGGCCGTCGATGAGTTCAACTTGTAGACACACAATACAGTTCAAGCAACAATGTACAACAGTTTATAAATGGTGCTATTTAAGGCGTGCTCCACCAGCCTGCGGGTTTGGTGAGTTTTATTTCGTTTTTCCTCCTGTTTCTTGTCAGGAATGAGCAAATCACTCTTGATTGTGGACTGAATTGGGAAACGCATCCGAGCCGATGCCACTAAATTGATACTGGGTTTGATTCGGCTCTTTTTAAAGGGAATGATGCCGATTAGCCTGCAAGGCAAACAAATATATAAGTCAGGTTATGAACAATTAGTAATTTCCGAATTATATATACGTGGAGAGCTTCAGTGAAGTAACTGGAAAGGAAATCAAATGTAGATCAACACCCGACTGGGTTTAAATAGATTTATTTTTAAAGAAAACATTATACAGAAATATATATATACACAGAAAAGAATATATTTATATATAGACATATAGAATCAATTATAAATGCTTCCTGAACAGGCTATTTAAACAAATAAAACTCGGATGCAATTATATATAGGGGAATATTTCTTACTGGTTTTTCCATACATTTCCTATAGTCCTTAAACATGGTTGGAAGTGCATAGGAAAAAAAAAAAGATTAAACATTATTGTGAAGTATACAGACCAGGCTTGACAATACTCCGTTTAGTTTGTACTCTTTCTTTTTGTTTATTTCAACAACCTAAATGACATCATTCAACACTCCTTTCTTTTTCTTTCTCAACAATCTCTGCATATTAAGTTTAGGTGTTACATTTCTGAGTCTTACTGCAGCCTGTCCGCTCCTAGATCTGTCGAAATGTGTGTGTCTGTGTGCTACATCCCACTGTTACTCTCTTCTTTTTTCTTTTTTTCTTTCTCTTCTTCTTTTACTGCTGTGAGTGGGTGTTATACATTGACGAGTGTTGTCCAGTTCCTCACCGTTTTTTGATCAACCACAAGAATTAGCCATACACACAAACTGGGAGCCATAGCGATTATTCTTACTTTTCTTTATTACTAATTTCAGTATCCATCTAAGTTTTGACCTCATTCTCGTCTGTACTGTGTTATGTGATAAAGGCAGCTGTTCAGTCAAGTGTGTACTGCTGTAATTCTCCACAAACTTCCTTTGAACAATAAATATAGAATTTCTTTGCTGAGAATTCGAGTGTTTGTGCAAGTTTTTCATCTGGTTTGATGTTTTATTCACGCACAATCATTGACAGCTGAATGTTGTTTCGCTTCAGCATCAAATGAACTGCAGTAAGGATTTTTTTAGAGGCTTTGGAGTTTACTCATTTACTCAAAAATTTGATTAATTGCTAATTACATTATTGGAATGGAATTTAATTCACTCTGTCAGACAGCTAATCAATAAGTAAATACTCAATAATAAGGATTGACAAATCTCAACACAGACACTACAAATTAAACAATTGCTTAAATGCAGTGGTTTAAAGTAACAAAATACTTCTTAGGAACTATAATTTGCTAAGTAGTTTTCAAAATGTGTACTTTTACTTTCCCCTGAGTATATTTTTAATCCAGTATTGGTACTTTTATTCCACTAAGTCATGAGTTACATATAAAGTTGATGGAGACTGATCTCAGAACTCATTTTAGGACAGTTATTGCTCACTGAGCAAAGCAACAAACTGCATTTTTGCTAATTAAGCTGCCAACACCCAATGCATGGGTGCTTCTAGTGATCTCAAAACCAAAGCATTGCATGAAACTCTTCTAAATCTTCAAACTAAGGAGCAGATTAATCTCTTAACAAATTTTTCTATTAGCATTAAAAACCTAAGATTACATTGTCAACTTTTTTTCTCTCTTTCTTCAATTCCACACAAAGCATGCTGGGAACTACAAATCCCCTAATCCAACACAATTCATTCATGTTGTCCCAGCACAAAATGCTTATGTTTACTTAATGGTTAACAAAAGTGCGTGTACAAAACATTTCAAATTAATGACTGTATTTTTTTACAAACAGAAATGTCTAAAATGTCAG